GAGCACAAGAAACTTATCGTATAAAATCTCGTCGACCCCAATGTTTTGAACAGTAATGTCAATAAAAACAAAATCTAAAATTGATTTGAAATTTGAAAAGTTCATTTTAACCCCTCCCTTTCCTATTTGTAGACATATGCTGTAAAAGCAAAGATGACAGTCGACTCAAAAAGACACTTTAAAACGCAAGACTAAAGCAATCTATAGTTTTTCAATCATTCACTGGTGTCCAGGGTCCTGCATTACCTTTAAAATGCAGAGATAGTGGATTTGAGCTACTCATCCATTGGATGCATGGGGTGAGGGAGTGCGTTCAACAACTAGTCATTCGCATTCCTGGGGGTGAGCTAAATGAACACAGTTTCTCCTGTCATCATTTTTGCCCAATAAAAAAAACCCCTCCTGGGAATCTTGAGCAAGCAGATCTAATCTGTTTGGCTTTGTGACACCTAAGTGCAAGATAAAGTGTGTGTGTGTGTGTGTGTGTGTGTGAGAGAGAGAGAGAGAGTGAGAGAGAGAGAGAGAGAGAGAGAGAGAGAGAGAGAGAGAGAGAGAGAGAGAGAGAGAGAGAAAATAATTTGACTATTAAAAAGAACAAAACCATATTTAAATAAATATATTTTTTTTACTGCCTTTAGTTATTATTTTGGAATAAATGTAAAATGCTTCTGACAGCATTAAGAGTAACTGGAATGAATTTACATTTGATTTATAATTTTTTTTGGTTTGTTTAAAGCAACACTAAGTAATCAATTAGTGAAAGATTACTAAGTAATCGTTTCAGTGGTTCATTAAGTCGTAACAGGGTGAAAGGCACTTCTGGATTCGCTTTGCGGTCCTTTATCTGCTATAACCACGCTATGTAAGACTGCCAGATCGAGACGCGTTTCTGTAGTTGTAATGATACAATGAGAAAACTACAAATTTGGCTTTACGTCAAGCGTTACAATAGTCATTAATTTGTTTTTCTTCTTTTCTGATGTCGCAATACATAATACTTTCTTGAAATCATGCTGTCTGTGGACATCGTTCATTCCAAAGCCGGTGCTGGATAAACAATTAGCGTGCGTGCGACAGTGGGCTGCGGTAGGCTAACTTATTTACGACAGCGGTCATGGACAATTCCGTTTCCAACCTGTAGGGTGACCACAGAGGAAAAGTTACTTGGTGTTGCTTTAAAAACACAAAAAATAACCTGTGAGTGTTAGCCTCCTTATTTATCCTTATGAATCTGCAGCATTCTGGTGTTACAGCAGTCACAAGTTGAAGCGCTCCGAAAATTCCCAGTTTATGGCCCTATGCCCTAATTCACTATTCCACTAATATAGTTTACATGAAGGAGTGAATGAAAACGAGTGAGCGATTCGGATACTGTGTGCCGGAAAGGCTGCCACTTCCGTGAAATTTGTTCTTGCTATTTAATAATCTTTTGAAACTTAGCAAACTAGCAGCTCAAATAGTAATGAAAAGATTTATCTTGAACTCTGTCATAAAAACTATGTATAATCCTCAATTAAACAATGTATTAATCAATTTAAAATGGTATTGCTGTGCTTTATTGGGCTATTTGAGTGCACTATGGTTTCAACTACAAATGGCTGTACCCTCAAATATTTTCCTATTCTTAATGCATTTACATTTACTTTTGATCAGTTTAATGCATCCTTTATTGCTGAAGAAAGGTATTAATTTTTATTCAAATAAATCTATAAACGGTAATGCATTTGATATTATGCTATTCTCAGGCTCATTTATTTAAAGCATATTACTCATGATCCTTATAACATCTACTGCAGTTTTTCTCTTGCAGAGTATATGGAGATAGGATGTTGAAGCATGTTTGGTTTTTTTACTTACTCCAACGCATTAAGTGCATTGATTGCATGAGTCTATACACATGTTGTAAGAGTGTCTAATGAGGTTGGATTTTGTCCATGACATGGACCATTAAGGCTCTCTGCTCATATGACGCTGCTCTCTGCTTCCACGTCAATATGCTGACTCCCGACATCTTCGTTCTGCTAATCACCTTGGGGGCGATGATAAAAATACGGCCATAAATCACAGCTAAAAAAGAGACCAGAAGGGGTCTCTCTAACTCCTACCTGCAAACACACACGCATTAACCCATTCTCTAACTCTCCCCTCGGTCATGAATAAAACATTGCAGGCAGAAAAACACACTGCGAGGGCAAGGAATGGAATGGAAAATGTTTAGTTGAAGTTAGGTGAAACCTTAAATGAATCACAAATTACGCAGATCAATGTAGATATAATGCACTTCTCACATTGTCTACAGGTTACTGCTGAGTCATCCGGTCTCATCGGGAGAGGAGAAACGAGCAAAAGAATCCCTTCAGGGCTGATTTAACAACAGCATCCTCCAGAGAATTAAATCAGCATCAAGCCTTCCTGCACTGCTACACTGCATTTGTACCAGAGCTTATCTTGCAACCCACATTTTTTGCAACCCGTTTGTATGCACTTTTTGTTTTTCACCAAACAATGCTTTATTCATATGACAACTATTAAAAGATCCCATAAGAATTGTTATGTTTCTGTTCTAGGCAGACGTTTTCTTGTGAAAGTCACTTACATGAGCGTCTGCCTCCATTAATGCGCCGCATCATTCTTTATTAATAAATCACAGACTGCGTACGTGCCTCATCATCACGCCATACTGATTCTGAGTTCACTGCCCGTAATATCGTCACATTATAGCTGGATCTCTAATAATACATCATCACAGTGGGCTGGTACTGTAAGGGCGTGCTCTGCAGCATTACTGATGGCCTGCATTGAATTTTAAACTGCCCTGCTCTGCATGGCCACAAAAGCACCTTGAGCGACAGGCGCCCTGCTCCTCAGGGATGATTTGCACATTTAAAATGGATGGTCTTTTCTCAGGGCTGGACATGCAGAGTGGACAGTAGAGACATAAGGTCATTGAGTTCAGGAGCTCTTCTTCTGCTTCTCTGCATGATTGCACGCTGGCTAAATCTGGCTTCAGTGCTCAGACACAGTGAATCCAATGACAAAGCAAATAGGGATATAATTCATTGGAAATGTCTAATTTTAGTCCTCTCAAAGGGACAACTTCATCGTCCTCTCTTGGTTTAATAGGAATGGCTTTGGAACATGAATGAATCATTTTGAATTTCTAGTGATATGATTAAACTTTGCTGAGCAATAGAAAATAGGCTATTGGAAATTAGCAGATGCTGCTAGATGTCTGTATAAGGTCAGAGTGACTTTCAGCACTGTGTATCTCCGAATGAAGCACTTTGGTTGAATTATCTATGGCGACTGCAGTTTTGGATCAATCAATTACCATCTAAACACTCTCGGGTTGCGTTTTCTTAACTGAAATATCTTTAAAATGTTTGCTTACACAGATAGTGAAACTCTAAAATGTTGCTAAAAAAATGATGCACATTTTTGGCATGCTGAGCCTGTTGACAGCCCTTCTGCTCATTTTTCTCAGGTTTCATTAGAAAGAGGGAGGTCAGACAGGCTGATGCATCATATCTCCTTCAGATTACTCTAAATTCAAATCCTTGTTTCCATGTGAAGCAAATAGCAGCAGGTGTTCTGTTAGAGGAACCCATGCACTATCTGACACATCCCAGACCAATGCATGACTCGCATATGTCTATTTGAAAACGGCAGGATTCTGGTTAATAAAAAATAAGTAATTCGTCAACCAGCACAAAATGCCAAACTCAGATTTGCACTAATTTGCAGCAAATAATGTTTAGCAGCAGAGTATAGCGGTGCTTCCTAACTTCAAGGATGACACAATAAAAGTACATGCACTGTAAAAAAATATTGTTGGTTTAACTTAAAAAAGTAAGTAACCTGGCTGACTTAAAATTTTTAGTTGATTGAACTGGAAAAAGTGAGTTAATACAATAAATGAGGTTAATTTAATCATCAGAAACTCAAAATAATAAGTTATCTCAACTAAATGAATTATTTAAGTTGATTTGACAAAAGAAAATATGTTGTGATTACAAATTTTACAGTAGGTTATAAATAGATAACCTATAAAATAAATAGATAGCCATGCAAACTGTTGCCTATTTTACCAGGCACATGTCTGCTCAGTGTTTCTCATTTAAGAAATCAATAAATGCATCAATGCACATTTTCAAAAGGAAATAGGGTTACACTTTACTTTAAAGTGACAGTGTGTGCTTACCATAATATTACTATAATATGTAACTAGAGTTAGTTACTTAAAATTATGCATAATTTACTGTTATGCAACATGTGCAAATACATCACCTTAAAAATAAAGCGCTACCGAAAATAGTAATTTCATTGTTGACTTAGCACTACAGCTAAATGCCCTTGAATGTGTCTGAGAAACTGGCCGCTGTCCTTGGTGCTGACTGTGGACGCTCAGTCAGTGATTGGGCTGCGTGATCAGACTCTGTAGTCCTATAACATCATAATAAATAGCCTAAGACGTGATATCATATTGTAATTCTACCGCAACCAACGTATATTATATTCTGTAAGAAATTAAAACTTTTTACAACCACTCAGGGTGCAATTTTTTGGAGGGTGCTTTTTACAGAAAATGTTGGTTATAGGGACCGTCTTAAAAATGAGCATAAAATGTATTTATTTTTACACAAAAAGGTCTATACACCTATAGCTATAAAATTTCAATTGAGTTTTTACATTTTAAATTATGACCGCAAACGTTTAGTGGGCTAAATGTGCACGATAGCGAACAGAGATGCGGGAATACTCATAGTTTATGGCCTATATGAAAATCACAAATCGTGTCCTGTTTAAAAAGTCTTTAAAAGTATTTTTTTTTTTTTAGAAACCTTCAAACAGAAAATATTTTTGAAAGTTATTTTTATAGATCATTAGCCACCCAAGCACTCGTTTTGAGTGAATAGGAATCTGAAATACTGATACAGATAAGAGTATAGCAAACAGGACCCTCCCACATCGTCGGATCAATGGTCCAGTCAAAAGAAGCCTGAGTTTCTTCGCAACAGTTCCTCGGCTATATAAAGGCAGGTAGAGCTGCTATCCAGCGCTGAACGAGCCACATAGGCTACCCCACACCTCTCACTACTTTACCTCACTCTTCTGTTCATCTGCACGTCCACACCCCGTCCGTCCGGATGAGTTATTCGATAGACACTATAGGGAGTCCCTACCGGAGGGTGATGGACACCAGGACGAGCTATTCGAGCCCCTCTAGCGGGTTCCGCTCCCAGACCTGGTCGAGGGCAAGCCCGAGTTCTTCTTCCTACAAGAGAAGCTTCAACGTCCCGGTGGCGCGAGCTTACGGCTCAACGGTTCTGAGCTCCACTGACAGCCTTGATTTCACTCAGACGTCCATCCTCAATGGAGACTACAAGCGCTCAAATGAGAAGGAACAACTCCAGGGACTCAACGACCGCTTCGCGGGCTACATCGACAAGGTGCACTTTCTGGAGCAGCAGAACCAGCAGATCGAGGCGGAGATCCAGGCACTGCGACAGAAGCAGGTGTCGCAGTCTCAGCTGGGCGAACTTTACGACCAAGAGCTGCAGGAGTTGCGCTCCATGCTGGAGCAGATCCACAACGAGAAGGCGCAGATCCAACTGGACACCGACCACATTGACGTAGACATCCAGCGCCTTAGGGACCGCTTCGACGAGGAAGCCCGCATCAGGGAAGAGACGGAAGCGATCGTCCGTGCCCTGAAGAAGGACATGGGCGACTCAGCACTCGTCAAAGCAGAGTTGGAGAAGAAAGTGCAGTCCCTGCAGGACGAGATCGCGTTTATTCGCAACAACCACCAAGAGGAGCTCAGCGATCTGTTAGCGCAAGTGCAGGCGTCACAGATCACCGTGGAGAAGAGGGACTACCAGAAGACGGATATCACCGACGCGCTGCGTGAGATTCGCTCGCAGCTGGAGGGCCACTCGACGCAAAACCTCCAGCAGGTGGAAGACTGGTTCGTGTGCCGCTACTCGAAACTCACAGAGGCCGCTGAGCAAAATAAAGGCGCCATCAAATCCGCACGGGACGAGATCGCAGATTATCGCCGCCAGTTACAGTCCAAAACCATCGAGTTGGAGTCTGTCCGAGGAACCAAAGAGTCTCTGGAGAGGCAGCTGAACGACATAGAGGACCGACACAACAATGACCTCTCCAGCCTTCAGGTAGGCTACATATGCTTTACACTTGGGTATTTCTATAGCATAACTTTTAATTTAGACATTTCAACTAAAAGGGAGCTTAATATGCGTATGATCCTCCAAATGTGCGTTGTTTTATGGTGAAAAACATTATGGTATCTACACTCTAAAAAATGCTGGGTTGTTTTAACCCAATTTTGGGTCAAATATGGACAAACCCGAAATGTTGGGTTAAAAATGTAATGTAAAAATTTAACCCAACGGCTGGGTTAGTCCATATTTGACCCAAAGTTGGGTTAAAACAACCCAGCATTTTTTAGAGTGTAATAGTGTTTTGTGTGTGTTGATAATTTAAAATAATGTTCTTCGATTTTAGAATATGTCATTTAAAAATCTTATCGTTAGACTACTGTTGCAGCCTTTGCTGCAGTAGTCCCTTATAAATCACTTTGACTTTTAAAATGTGTTGCAGCTCTCTTCAATAAAATCAAGTCATAGACTGTTTAATGCTATTTCCTCCATGCTCACTACTGTACAGTATGAAAAGCAGAGAAATGGACATTCACCAGAGGATTTGCGTATATGGGTTCATTACATCATAGGTGCAGTGGAATGGTGTTAGAAAGGGTTAAGGAGAGACAGACACCCACAATGCAGTCCTCAATGTTTGCTGAGTCAGAGCAGAGGCAGGGTTTGCTCATTGGCTGTGTCCTGGAATCACCTCATGCACATAAACTCAATGCACCTACTGATTGTCCTTGAAGCCATACAGTAATTCTGTGAATTAATTTAATTTGTGCAGAGAAAATATGAGCATCATACCCGAAAAGAGTTCCTTGGAGCATGTGAAGAATATGCATAAACTGGAGACTATGACAGTTTTTTTTTCCAGTCTTCAGCAATAGATTTATTTGACTAAGCTGTCACAATATTTTGTCTGATTCAGGAAACCATCCACCAGCTGGAAAATGAACTCAAGAGCACGAAATGGGAGATGGCACGGCATCTTCGTGAATACCAGGACCTCTTGAATGTCAAAATGGCACTAGATATTGAGATTGCAGCATACAGGTAAGATTAGGATCAATTTTGCAAATGAGTATTTATTTGTACTTATTAAAATGAATATATTCATAATACAATATTGATATATAATATATCATATTTGATAAATGGAAATATTTCGAGCAATATTTATCATTTATTTACAATTTTGATAAATATGTATTATTATTATATTAAATTTTACTTAAATATTTCATTTATAAACCATGCAAATGAGAACATATTGACAAATTTAGTAGAAATTGTAGAATTGTAGAAGAAAAAAAATATTTCAGAGAAATTTTCCGTATAATTTAGATAATAGCCTAAACCACAATTGTATCTCCTTCTTTTATGCTTTTCGCTTTTTTTATGTAGAAAACTTCTTGAAGGAGAGGAGAGCCACTTTAGCACTTTCCCATATCGCCAGACCGTCACCAAAGGCTCCAAGGTCAAAAGTGAGCCGCCTAAACTTAAAGTGCAACACAAATTTGTGGAGGAGATCATCGAGGAGACGAGGGTGAAGGATGAGAAGTCTGAGATGGATGAGGCTTTGGCTGAGATGGCAGAGGAGTTGTCAGCTGCCAAAGAGGAAGATGAAGGAGAGGAGAAGGGAGAGGCTGAGGGTGAAAAAGGTGGCGATGAGGAAGGAGAGAAAGGAGAGGAAGGTGAAGGTGAGGTGGAAGAAGGAGAGGAGGAAGTGGTTGCCTCAACCCAAGCCAAAGTAGCCTCTGGAGCCCCTGCTGAGGATGAAGAGGAAGGAGAGAAAGAAGGAGGTGATGAAGAACAAGAAGAAGAAGCTGGAAAGGTTGATGAGGAGGAAGAGAAGGGAGAGGAGGGAACGGAGGGTGAGGAGGACAAGAAAGAAGATGATGCAGAAGATGAAGCCGAAGAAACTAAGTCACCCAAAGCAAAGGCCTCTCCTGAGAGTGAGAAAGCAGAAGAGAAGGAGGCCAGCGGAGGAGAAGAAGAAGGAGAAGAGGGTGATGAGAAAGATGAGGCAGATGCAGGTAGCGACAAAGGATCAACGGATGAAAAAGAAGCCGAAGCAAAGGAGCAGCCTAAGAAAACAGAAACGGCAAAGGAAGACAAGAAGGGAAAAGAGGAGAAAGAAGAGGCCAAATCTGAAAAAGACAGTGCACCTGTGAAAGAAACCAAGACGGAGACGACTAAACCAGAATCTCCAAAGAGTGAGAGTCCAAAGAGCGAAAGCCCAAAGGAGACACCTAAGACAGAGACTCCAAAAAAGGAAGCCCCCAAAAGTGAGTCTCCCAAGACTGAGAGTCCTAAGAAAGAGGAACCAAAGGAAGAACCACCCAAGAAAGAGGCGCCAAAGTCAGAACCACCGAAAGCTGAAACTAAAGATTCCCCAAAACCAGCAGATGAGAAAAAGAGTGAACCAGAAAAAAAGCCTGACGACAAACAGAAAGAGGCAACCGTGAATGGAGACATGGCCAAGAAAGACAAGAAGAACGAGTCCGATAAGGTGGTCTCCAACGGAGTGGATGAGAGCCCAACCAAAGATGAATCGAGCCAGAGGGTGGTCATCACCAAGACGGTGGAGACCATCACGACTGGGGAAGGCGGAGTCAAACAAGTCACAAAAACTGTTACCGTCACCGAGAAAGGAGAGGAGGTGGACGAGAGCGTCGGGGAAAAAGTGGTCTCCAAAACCCCGGAGAAGGCCGTGAAGTCCACTGAAGCAGATTAGGCCCGAACGTACAGCTATAGCCGACTGAAGAGGAATGTAGGAGGAGGCATTCAAGCAATCAACACAAAATGAACATAACCAAGAAATCATAAAGATCAACAGATGTACCTAATTACATTAACCACACTAAACAAAAACAAGCATAGAGAGAAGCCACAAGATGCGGCAAGCTAAAAAAATGCATGTTGAGTGACGGCTTTAAATGGGTTCTGCTGCATATGTGGTCCAGGACGCCGGGGACTCACTTTCACTTTTGTTCAAACTGCAATACCTGGGGGAGGGGGACGGTCACTTGAATGTGCCGTCTGCATGCCAGCTCAGGGGGAGCGCGCTCCTCGTTCTTCGAGATAGAATAATAACCACCCTAATATAAAATAGTCGCGGAGTGGTGGGGAATGACATTTGCTTCAAGTTAGGGTAACAAGGGTCGTAGAGATATGTTCTTCTGACAAAGTAGCCTTATAAATATTATTATTGCGAGGACACCAACTGAGCCAAAAATGTTAAAAAAATAAATTAAAAAAAAATACAAAAAATGGACAAAGGCGATGGTGAAAATAGCCCACGGTCATATACACTCAGTACATAAAGCAACTAAGAAACTCTTAGCCTTAAACATGCTTTTTACCGTTGTCAGTTATGTTTACCTGATGAGTGCATTTGAAAATAAACCTGTCAATGCGCACATACATTCTTGTATGCATAGGATTGACTTGAATTCTACTACTTACCGTTAATGAGGTGCTACCGTTTGCCGTCCCATGTCTTTGTTCATCTGAATGAATTTCTCAGCAGCATTTGCTCAATAAACATCATATTAAAAAAAACAAAACATTTGTTGTCTTTTTTCCTCATGTGGTATAAGCATATGGCATGCATGCATTTTTAATGCACATGGTTTACATATTCTTCGTAAGAGAATAATACTATCAACATTCACAGCAAGTTCTGAGTGATTGCCTTCGAAAATAAACATGGCAGCAAGTAAATGAAAAAGAAATCCATAAAATCGTATAAAAATTATATATATATATATATATATATATATATATATACTGTATATATATGAAGAGTTCAGATGCAAAAGCCTCTAAGTGCCATTTGAAATTTTCTTCTATTAAGATCATTTTTATCAAGCTTAAGAAATTGCAATGAGGATTACCTATTAATTGTCATTTAAGTGAAATTACTGAATTGAATATATAAGCTTGATAAAAATGATCATTTTAGAAGAAAATTTCAAATGGCACTTAGAGGCTTTTGCATCTGAACTCTTCATATATATATTACCCCTGGTAAATATGATCAAAGATGGCTGTAAAAATAAATCTGCGTTGATTAACCTTTTGATATTTCATTCATTTTTCATAAAATAAAAGTAAATTGAAAGTGTGGAGAAAATCACATTATAAAATAAACATTTTTCTCCAAAACATGGCCACAATTATTGGCATCCCTATAATCTTTTATGAGTAAAATATCTCTGACCATTAATATTGACCTTTTTTAGCACACCAGGGTGACTAGGAACATGAAATTGTCTCAAAAGTTGAGTTTTGAGGAAACTCAAAGGCCAAATTCCCTTAATCATTCATCACAATGAGTAAAACCAAAGAATATAGTTCTGATGTGGAGAAAAAGGTTGTTGAGCATCACAAAATAGAAAGTGGCTATAAGAAAATACCTAAAGAATTGACAATTTTGACCATCAGGGCAAGTTCCAATGAACTAAAGATGTTATGAATCTGCCAGGAAGAGGATGTGTGTCCATATTGTCTTACTGCGGAGGAAAGGTTGAGTGACCAAAGACTCTTCAAGAATCATTATTATAAAAAAAGGATTATTATTGTTGTTTTTTTTAATCAAACACCCCCTACATCGCCACATGTTGTTTGGGAGGGTTTCAAGAAAAATCCTCCTCGCTCATCCAAAAAACAACTTTTCAGTTGTCGGAACAGTTGTCGGATCTATGGTCAGTTGAAACTAAAAAAAGAGCTTTTTGGCAGCAAACCCATCTGAACCCATCATAAAAACTACCCAATGCCCACAGTTAAATATAAAATATTATATATATACTCTTGTCAGGTGTTCTCCAAACTCATCAGGCATTATAGGAGTAAACTAGTAAAAGAGCTGAAAGGTTTGCTTGAGCTGCGCCCTCTACTGTACAACCGTAAATTTGCATTTCCTTCTGAGGCTGAAGGAAATGCAAATTTACGGTTGTACAGTAGAGGGCGCAGCTCAAGCAAAGCTTTCAGCTTATTATTTTATTTTGGTGTGAAAGGGCCTTTACATTGACCCAAAAAGTAACTTTTAAAAAGACAAGCTGAGACCAGGTGAAAAAAAAGTAATGCAAAAGTTAAATAACGCAATTCTTTTCTAAAAAGTAACTAACGAAATTAGTTACTTTTTAAGGGGTAACACTGCTTACAACACTGCTCACAATGCAACATATTGGACTGTGCAAGGCATTACTAATATAAAATTGGGACAACATATTATGAAATATGGTGCATATCATTCAAAAAAGTGACAATACTGTTATAATCTAAGTGCTTCTGTCTATTCAAAAACTTTTACAGAATTATGTACAAAAACGAGATGGTCCTCACTGCAGAACACAAAATCCAGGGGGAGGAGTTGGATCCAGATGCAACTCTTCCCACCTTACATGTACCTAAACCTACCCATCTCCACCCCCTGATCCCCAAACCCACCTACCCATCTCCACTCCTTGATCCCTAAACCCACCCCTAAACCTACCCATCTCCACCCCCTGATCCCTAAACCCACCCCTTAACCTACCCATCTCCACCCCTTATCTCTGGATCCAACTCTGCCTCCTGGATCTCGTGTACTGCAATGAGGTGCTACTGATAAAAACAGCTCAGGGTTTAGTTCCCTGATACTGCTAAGGGCTCATTCAAATGTGTGCCTCAAGTTTTGTGCTGTACAAGTTATGAACTTCAATAATTTATAACGGTTCACTAGTAATGTTGGTCAAATTGCCAGTACTGCAGTAGTTTTTGTACTGTGTCTAATGTACTGTAGTAAGTAAAACTAAATTTAAAGGAAAAATGCTCAATTTAACTGAAATTAATGACTGTGACTTGCAAAATTGAACTTGGTGTCTTCAAAACAGATCCCAGGTTCCCATTTGACAAGTTTCTATGCACTATTGTTTTCTTTTTACTGTTAATTTTATCTCCTCCTGATCTATGTGCATGTTTATGTACAAACGTTTTCCGTAAAACACTCTTTTAAAGGATTTACTTTTTTAGAGGTACTTCTTTTGAAACCTTCTATTGTGTACAAGTGCAGTGAACGGTTGAATTAATGTCACATGCAATTTTGTGCAAAGGCATCCATTAAACTAAACAGACATTAGAGATCTTAATAAAGATCTTTTTTGTTTATGAAGTTTTCCCACATTAGGTATTCTGCATCTACTGTTTTTTTTTTTTTTTTTTTTTTTTACAAATGTTTAAAAATCTATAGGTATTCAGCAAACTAAACAGACAGGGTACTTCTGCATAAGGAAACTATTAAAAATGTATTACACCCAATGAAATAAATCAGCAAAACATTTTGATCATCAAGAAGAAAGTTTTTATTGCACTGGCAGCAAAGATTCACGTATTGCAATCTATTTCAAGACTGATGCTACATTCAAAAATAGAATCTACTTCACAAACACTCACTCAGGTATGCAGATCATCCCAGTTTTAAAAGCTGATAAGTTGACTTTAGTTTCAAACATTGTATTGCAATTTGCTCTGAGTTTCATTGGTATAGTAACAGACTGAAGGGAGACTATAGAGAAGCAGGTCAGGCTACTGGTATTTGTGCTGTTATAGATTCAACATTCTTACTTCTTTCCCTTGGGTTTCTCACTCTCCTCTTTTTCCTTTTCCTGCTTCACACTTTCCTTTTTCTCACTCTTGCCTTTCTCACCCTCATCTTTTACCTTAGGCTTTTCTGACTCTCCCTTTTCTTTTGCTTTTGGTTTCTCAGGCTCTTCTTTGCCTTTATCCTTTGACTCAGGTTCAGGTGCAGGTTCAGTTTTCTCTTTGGCTGGTTCAGGTTCTACTTCCTCTTTGGCTTTTTCAGCCTTAGGCTCAGCTTTTTCCTTCTCTACCTTGTCTTTTTCTGCCTTAGTGTGTTCCTTGTCTGTCTCAGTCTCCTCTGTGGCCTTATCAGCACTTGTGTCAGGTTTCTCCTCAATTTTCTCTGTCTCAGTATCCTCTGCAGCCACTTCCTCCTCCTCAGCTTTCTCCCCCTCTTCCTGCTCACCCTCTTCCCTGTCTCCCTCTTTTTCGTCACCTTCTTCTCCTTTAGCAGCTTCCTTTTCTTCCTCTACCTCATCCCCCTTTTCTTCTTCCTCTGTTGCAGCCTCACCTTCCTCTTCCTGTTCAACACCTGTTTAAAACAGTAATTTAGTTATGCACTTCCTGTCAACATTTAGAATAATAAAATATTTGTATTAATGATCTTGCATCTGAATCTTACCTTCCGCTTCCTCCTTTGTTTCCTCTTCCACTTCCTCCTTTGTTTCCTCTTCTGCTTCCTCTTCCTCTACTTCCTCCTTTTCTTCTTCCTCTTTCTCCTCTTCTTTTTCTTCTTCTTCCTGGGTTGGACTGGCTGCAGATTCTTGAGCTTGACTGGATGTGATGACCTCATCAGCTGAGAGGGAGGCACTGACCAGGCGAGAACTAAGCATGTAGGGGGCTCCAGAGCTCATGCTGCTGGACATTGAGAACATGGGCCGGGAATAGACAGGACCAACCGAGTAAGCACCGACCATACCTCCCAGACCCACATTGAAGCGAGACTCCTCCCCCTCAAGCAACTTCCTGCAAAAGATTATGTGACAAATCAGAAGAATCGAAACGAATCGAAATGACAGATGTCATATTAGCAATCATACCTGTAAGCAGCTATCTCAATATCAAGGGCCATCTTGACATTGAGAAGATCCTGATACTCTTTAAGGTATCTCGCCATTTCACCCTTAGTGGCACGAAGTTCATCCTCAAGATCACTGATTGTATCCTGCAGGAAAGGATCATTTTAATGAATGTTAAAATTATGGTTTGAGAGCACACGATAACTCAAATAGAGGTTTCTAGTACTAACCTGCATGGCAGCAACTTCTGAACTCTGCTTGTCCTCCACCTCCCTGAGCTGCCTCTCCAGAGACTCATTCAGGCCCTTGCAGGCATCGATCTCAAGGACACATGCCTGCAGCTGACGGCGATACTCTCCTGCTTCGTCCTTGGAGTTCCTCATTGCGTCACTGTGGTGTGCCACGCTCTCCGTCAGGTGGCCCATCTTCCCGCGGAACCATTCTTCAGCTGAATGGATGTTCTTGGCAGCCAGCTTCTCATACTGGGCTCTGATGTCCCGCAGGGCGCTGGACAAATCGGGCTTGGCAGTCTCCGCCTCGACGGCGATCTGAGCTCCATACTGAATCTGGGCCTGCAGCTCTGAGATCTCACCCTCATGGACCTTCTTCAGGAACCCCAGCTCATTTAGCAATATATCAACCCTTTTCTCCAGCTCCACCTGGGCCAGAGTGCTGTCGTCGGCCTCCTTGCGTGCCTCCAGAAGCCTGCCTTCGCTGTCCTCCCGGGCAACCACCTCTTCCTCGTAGCTGGCCTGCAGGCCCCTCAAGGCATCTTCCATGCTCTCACGGTGGCTCAGCGCGGCCTGCCTCTCCATGCGGGCCTCCTCGACGGCGGTCCTCAGAGAGCGGACCTCCTGATCATACAGGCCCCTCAGGCGGGACGGCTCCACGTGCCTCTGCCTCAGCATTAGCAGCTCAGTC